TGCTGCCGCAGGTCAGGGACGAGTTCGATCTTCTGCGGCGGAGCCTCGAAGGCGGTACGACCCGTCCATGTACACCCATCTGGAGTCGTGGGACATGCCATTGCCCCCGTCGGACAAGGAGCCGGAGAAGGAAGAACTTTCGACGTTGCCTCTCGCTAGCGGCTCGACTAAGTTGTGGTCGCAGACGGTGCGAGCAGGCGGGTCGGCTCCCGACAAAGGGGGCGAGTTCACATCATTGTTGCATCAAGGCTTGCGGGACGACGACGGCGGAGGAGTTTATCTGAGGTTCGGGTTGTGTTCTGGTGGCGGCAGGGAGGCGAGCCGTACGTTCATCATCGACGGAGATCGTTCGGCACGTGGCGTTAAGCATGGTGGAAGGCTGCATACGGCGCAGTCCACACTTCGTCGCGCTGCACCCATGACTGGCGCGGTCGGGCCATCCCCAGCGGGACGGCAGCATGGATCGACTGCTTCGTCCGTCGATCGATTGACACCGACCTGGCCCGCAGCCCCGGGGGTGGCAGCAGGGCCCCTACGCATGGGCGGTGCACGTTCGCTGATGCCTGCGTGCACAACACCGATCGAATCCGGAGTGAGGGACGAGGGAACGTGCGGAGCGCCGGTACGTCCACGACCCACTGTGGAGAACATAACACATGGAGTGTCGAACATGCGGGCATACAGCAATGGAGGCGAAGACGACGTTGGATTCGGTGACGACGCAGATGAAGGGATGAGGGAAGGAGCACAACTTCAAGTTCCGGATGGACAGGGCGCTGTACAACGAGATCCACGCAGGCATGGTGGGGAACCACACGATTTTCCCTCCCAACGTTGCCGACACCGGCAGTCCGGATGGGGTGCAGCTGCCCAGGCGAGGAGCGGGTGGTGGGGAGTCTGTTTGTAGTGAGGCGGCCGGTGAAGGCTGCCCTGACGTGCGTTCTTCTGCGAGGAAGTCCGACAGCAACGTACGAAGCGGGGCGGGAGGCGGGAAGCGGAAGAACGTGCGTCAGCAGGCATTCGAGTCCATCTCTGCATGGAACGCCATGGCGCACTGATGTCGTCGACGATCGAATCGTCCAGCAAGCAGCAATGCAACATCTTCACGAGGCAATGCGACATATTGGAGCAGGAAGTTGCCGTCCAAAAAGCGCACTATGCGGCGTCCGATGAGACGCAGAGGATGATGTGCCAAGCACTGTTGGAGATCGCTGCCGCCATCCGTGGTCGGTCGGCCATGTAGGCCATTGCATGTTGTGTTGATCAAAGTTGGTTCTTTGCCGTCGTCATCGAGTTCTTTTTTTTTTTTTCGGTTGTGAATTTCATGATGTTGCCATTGGCGATGCTCGTGGACGGCTGCCGCGGAAGCAATGCCAAGTAGTCGACAGAGAATTGGGGGCGGCGAGAGGGTGGGGTTTCGTGCGAACTTGGCGGGAGATGAAGGTCGGGTCCTGCGGTCATGACGAGAGGAGGGGGGGGTGTTTGTGTGTGTGTGTGTGTGTGTGTGTGTGTGTGTGTGTGTGTGTGTGTGTGTG